TCCGTGCAGGGCCTTGTCCTCTCGATACCAGCTCCGTGTGCGTTCCCCACATTTTCCAAGCCTGGCAGAAGCAGGGGTCAGAGTGGATTCTGCTGGAGCTCCAGAGCTGTGTGATATATTAGATGATCAGAAAGCCGCTGGGATTTACAGTCAGCAGGAGTCACTGGAGCACTGGCAGGACACCCCCCCCCCCCCGCCCATCCCGTAGAATTGTCAGCCGGCATAAATCATCGGCACCCTCAGGCTTCTCTCAGGTCTTTGGAAAACAAATTAATCAGGCAGGGAACTGTGTTAAAACATTGCAGCTGTGGTAACAGTTTTGAAGTGAGACCCTGTAACCTTCAATCCATCCTGTGGACACGGGAGGCAAGTGCCAGTTCCTCTCAGGTTGTCCATTATCTGTCAGTCAGGCCCCCGCTGGCGGAAGGGGCACTATGATCGGGCCCTGCAGGTTGGCAGTGCCTAGCGCTCACCTGCTACCAACTCCCCAGAATTCAACCAGATCAGACACAGAATGGCTGTCCTCACCTGAACTGTGCAGACCCTCGAGGACAGCGGAAGTTCAGCCTTTTCCCCTGAGGCTTCCTGGCTGAAGTCCTCAGCCTCTGGTCCTTGAGTAAATGCACTTCTATCTCCAAGACTCTAAGTGGAAAGATAGGAAATGTAGACCTCAGGTCCTTCGAGATCCCTTCCAGCTGTAGAGTCACACATGATGTAATTTTACTCCATTCTTACAGCCCCCGCCTGATCTCTTCAGCACTAGGGTGTGTATTCATTTGCCCCCCTAATACAATGGTGAGTTTTGGAGTCTTGCTACTACTGGAATCCCATACAAAGAGAAATCCTCCACTTTCTCATCAAGTGGTTGTGCCTTGTCCATAATATGGGGTAGATATGAATATAATAAAATGATTTTGCAAGGACCCGAGTTCAATCCCTGGTACCGAAAAAAAAAGAGATTTTTATTTTAAAAATAAAAAGACTTTAGACCTCCTAGAGCACAGTGGTGGTGACTTTGTTTTGAAATTCAGTCTCTGAGAAAGCAGTTGAAGACCCAGAGCCAAGGAGGCACGTTGGGCTGAGCCACTGTAAAGCTTTCACATGGATCTGTGGTGATGATGTGAGTTTGGACTGAGATGCGCAGAGGAAAGCAGCATGAGCTCGTGTGTTCTTGTGGAGACAGAACATCGACGTGAGCAATATGAACAATAGAAAACTTAAAGGATACAGAGTAGAATGGGAAGAACAATTCACAAATTGCTGGTAGCAACAAGGGCTTAGTATAGGAAAACAAAATAAGGGACATAGATAGGGTCTTTGATAACCAGAAGGAAATCTGATGCTTTCCTCAGAGATACTGTGGCAAAGAATTTCAAACTGAAACCAGAATGAGGACGCCTCAGACCAGACTTGGAAAGATCTTGCTTCCATGGGCCCCAGGACCAAACTTAATATAGTTACAGTTTAAAAACAAAAAAAAAAAGGAACATTAGGGACTGGAGGCATGGCTTCCTGCTAGACACATTTGCCTGGCATGTGTGTGACCCTCAGCTCAATCCCCAGTGCCACAAAAGGAAAAAGAGAAAGCTATTACGCCAAGGGTTAAGAACTGCAGGATATGGGCCCTCCATGGTACTATTTAGTACTGTGCACCTTGGCCACTCTGATTTGTGTAATGTCCTGCCTTTCATTTCATCTCTCCCCTAAGATCCTCTCGTACCACTTTCCAGATCTTAATCTATTGGTTTAACATATTTTCAAAACGGTAGGTTGAAGACCTGTAATCTCAGCTGTTCAGGAGGCTGAGGCAGAAGGATTACAAGTTCCAGCCCAGCCTGGGCAACTTAGTGAGACCCTGTCTCAAAATAAAAGTCTAAAAAAGGGCTGGGGATATCACTCGGTGGTAGAGCACTTGCCTTGCATTTGCAAAGCCCTGAGTTCCATCCCGAGTACAACCAAAAAAAATAGGTTGAGAGACCATGTCAGGGTGACAAACACATGTGGGTGAGCCAAGCAATCAGAGATGAAACCTCCGGAGTGACACCGCTCACCTTCTGATGCCTGTGTGTTCTGCACACAAACCTCTCTAACCCGGACTCTTAAGAGGGAGCACTCTAACTATAAAATGAAACAGTGAAGTCAGAAAAATTCCATCCCACACACGGCTCAAATTACATGATGAAATAGTGATTGCTAAATAGAATTCCATTTGACATAGTTCCTTTCCTAAAAATTTTCAGATTTATTTCTTTGTAATCAAGTTTTTCAGTCTCTAGTTGAGGGTATTAGGCTCCACAGTACCTGCAATCCCAGCTCTGGCCCACCTCACCATGGTTCAGGAGGCACTGGCATGTGCTGGGCCCTGTGCTACATTTTGTGTGTGTGTCCTTTTGTCCCATCTTGGTGGCCATGGTGGTCATGGTGGTTCGTGGTGTGTACCCTCGCGCCTGCTAAACACATGCTCTACAACTGAGCTCCATCCGCAGCCCGGCCCTGACATACGTATTTGTGAATGTCCTGTGTCCATGCCCTCTGTTTTCCCCATAGGGAAGTTTATCTGGGCTGGTTGTGGTGGCATGCACCAGCAGAGGCAGGAGGATCCCTTGAGGCTAGGAATTCAGGCGTAGGCTGGGCAATATAGGGAGACCGTGTCTTAGTCACTGTCCTTGTCACTGACACAATATCTGATACTCACAGCTTAAAGGTGAAGAGGTTTTATTTTGCCTCATAGTTTCAGAGGTTTCGGTCCATGCATGATGGGCTGGCTCCAAGAGAGAAACTTCAGGCCAGGGATGTGGCTCAGTGGCACAGTGCCTGCTTGGCAAGTGCAAGGTCCTGAGTTCGATCCCCAATACCAAAACTGAAAAAAGAGAGACACAGAGAGAAACTGCATGGTAAACAGACCTAGAAGAGGAGCGCTACTCATGCTGTGGTGACCCAGAAGCAGAGAGAGAAGGAGGCTGCCAGGGAAGAGTTACACCTTGCAGCTCATTCCCAGTGACCTGCCACTTCTGACCAGGCCCCACGGATGATGGCGCATTTAGCTCCGAACCAATCCGTTAAGGGATCCACTGATGAGTATCGAGCCCCATAATGCAGCCGCCTTCCAACCCCACCTCTGAACACACGAGGCTTTGGGGGTACACACTCGACCTAAACCATAGCAGACCCCGTCTCTTAAAGAAAAGTTTATCCCTCACAAGGACCCTATAAAATAGGGTTTGGTGCTCCCATTTACCGATGAAACAAATGAGGCTAAGGGAAAGGTAACTTCCATACTGTCACATGGCCACAACAGTTAGGAAATTAACCACTTAGCAGTCCAATTGTTTAAATACAGGATGACTGAAAATTACATTTTTTATTAATTTCTATACTATAATATAACAGGAAATATAAAAATGACAATTTTATCAAATTTATTCCATAATTTTTCTGTGTATGGTATATCTTGAAACATTCACTACACAATGCAACATTACAATCTGGACATAGTATCTAGTCTCTTTCCAGATTCTTGTTGCATTACTGTCTTTCTTTGAACAGCACACTTTACAGTCATGGTGGCCTTTTCTTTTTTTGCTGTGGGTGGTGTAATTTCAATAAAATGTCTACCTAGTAAGTGTAATGATGAAGAGGTCGATGATGGATGTCTTGGTGTTTTGCTGTACCGTGTTTTTCAATTATTTGGTCATTTAGACCTAATCAAAATTGTAAATGACTTTTTGAACCCCTTGTTTTGAATAAATAACAAATGAGTTTCATATTATTTGGTCCAGAAGGTGCATAAGTATTTTACAGTAATATTTTTCCTCACTTTTTGGTTACAGGATAGCTTGTTAGATGTTGTTCAACTCTGTCAACTCCACCCATAGAATTATTAGAATCATTGACCACTATTGAATTTTTTTAGTTTCATTTCTCCTTTCAAGGTGCGTAATTTCTGTATTATGAGTAGTTGACAATAAGGAAACATCTTTTTTTGTCTTTCCATTTCATAACATAGACTTTCACTCTCTGATATGCTAACATTTGCAGGTCTTTGGCACTTCTTTCCTATTCAGTCTCGGTGTCCCAAACATGTCCATTTTGTATTGTAAAAGAATATCACTGAATTCTGGAGAAGTATAAAAATTATGTCTAATGTACTTACAGTGAGAGTTTTTATAGACAGTAGCACAAAATTATAGGTTATTTTTCACAAATAAACACAAATTCATAAAAGAAAATAACCAGACCTTATTATTAGATTTCACCAGAAACAAACATCAAAGACAAATACAATGTGCTAAATAGAAAAGTGTGCAAAAAATAGTCAACATAAAGCAAATAGACGTACGAGGGTATCTTGTGCAAACAAAAATCGGCTGGTTGAAATGACACCTGCCTGAGTGACACTCAGGGTAAACTTCAGCGGTTAAGAGTTTATCCAGTATATCTGTCTGTGTAGACTGAAGGTGGTATCACTTCCCCACACACGTCAGGGTACACTGTCGTGGGTTGATTTGGCTGGCTCTGATTTTCAGCGTTTACCATTTTAGGTTGAATATTTGCTGGATATGTTTTTACTGCCCAGCCTCAAGGGTGTTGCTTGGACGTGGGTGTAGCAATCATCAATTCGAGACTGTGTTTGGGTTGTCCTGTTTGGCTTCAGGTTTAACCTACCACAGCACATGCCCTGAGCCCTGGGCGCTGCAAGGGCAGGAGTGTGTCACCGTTGCTTTCTTCCGTGTCTTTGTCACAGGGCTGTGACGCAGTCGAGACTTGACCCTGATCAGACTTGGTGTAATTAGCATGTGATGTTTGGATCCACCAGGGAAGCTCATGCTAGGCTAGTCACTGCAAAAGCACTCCAAGCCTCATGCTCTCTCTCTACCTGCACACATCCCAACCACTGATTGGGAGAAATTATGAACTTGTGTTCCTACTCACGAGGACGAGTTATAAATTGATGCCAAAACTCCTGACTCATGTCGGCTTTCATTCTCTTTTTCCCCCAGTAAATGAAAATGGTAACCGCCTAAGCACATGGGTGAGTCCTGAGCACAGAGTGGGAGAGAAGTTTCTCTACTGCGGCATTCTCCAAAGGAACATGGCTGAGCCCCCTCTACACACAGTCAAATTCAACTGGACTTAGAAGTTTGAGAAATGTCAGGGAAGCGTTGGTCCACGTGCTGATCAGCAGACGAGATGTGAAAAACCCCACACTATTCCATCACTTACTGTTGCTTGCTGACTGTGAAGAACTGCATGACCTACATTTAAGCTGCTTTCTATACCATTGCCAATCACTCTTTTGGACTTGGAAGTGCTATTTTCCCATAGACTCTCACATTATTTGATTTTGCATGCATCCAGTGATTATACATATATAATTTGCTTATTTTTTTTTTAAATACATCCATGCAAGATGATGATAAGGTATAAATTCTGCTCTTTTCACAAAATTATAATCTTATTCCATGTCATTAAAGTTTAAATTGGTTTCATTTAAAGATCAATGTACTCGGTCTGCCTATACTTTATAGAAAATTAGCTTCTATAAAGATTTTTTCACTGTTTACTAGTGAAATGAGAAAAGCAAAGCTATTTATAAAAGGCCTTATGTCGTGTACATACATTGTCTTTGAAATACCTGTGATTAGTTTATTGCTTGTAAAAGAAATTATATAATTTATTTAGTAAATACTACTGTAAACTATAGTTTTATTGAAGAAATAAAATATTTTGTTCTCAATTGTGGTCACACATTGATTCCAGTGATTTATGGTCTTGGGTTGGGGGGTATTAAGGATTGAACCCAGTGCCTAACACATATGAGTCAAGTGCTCTACCACTGAGCTACATCCCCAGCCCATATTTCTTTGTTTTATTAGATAAAAAGAAATAACTAAGACATTTCTTATTTTAAGTGTTCTGGGATCCTAAATTAGTTCAAGCTCATGATAGATGGAAATAGAAAGATTACCAGTCCTGAAAAAAAGACTCAATATCACATTCTACCCAGCCAGTCCAACAGACATTCCCAAATGTCCTGGTGTATCAGTCAGTTCTCACAATGCTATGCTGTGGTAACAAACAATCCCAAAATTATAATAGCTTTTGCCAACAGAAATTTATTTCTCACTCACACATGGGAACCACCTATAGCCCTGCTCCACTTCCCCTCTGTTTATTAGTCTCCTCACCTGAGCTGAGGTTCTTCATCAAAACCCACTGATTCCCAGGAGGGTCAGAGACTGATATAAATGAGTTGGGTGTGCCTTTGTGTATACAGATTTGTGTTTTCCAGGAAGAAAAAGGCTATAAGTTTCATCAAATTTTCAGTGACCTTGACCCACGAAATGTTAAAAGTATTATGTTAAGGCCTAACTCAAATCCAGTTTCAAAGCCATGGATTTATCATCCCTAATTGTCCAGCCTCACCTGATCATGGATAGCTTGTGGTTATCTCCCTGTTTTAGAAAACCTTAACATTATGTACCCTCTTTAATCATTGAGGTATTTCCAGGCATGGTGGTGCATATCTGTAATCCCAGCACTCAGGAGGCTGAGGCAGGAGGATAACTGTAAGTTTGATGCCACCGTGAATTGCACAGCAAAACCCTGACTCAAAAAAAAAAAATTGAGGTATTGCTTGCATGCACTAGAGTGTTCAGCTATTTTATAGTGCAATGAACTTGTACTTATGTATATATGAATTTGACTATCACCTGGAACACGATACAGAACATTTCTAGCTAACTTGCAGCTAAAGCTCTTTCATGCCCTTTCCCTATCAATGCCATCTCCAAAGTCCTCAGAGATAACTTTTTTTTAAGGCAAAGTCTCAGTTTCCCAGGCTGGGCTTGAACTCATGGACTCAAGTGATTCTCCTGTCTCAGGGCTAGATGTGTGCCTTCATGCCCAGGACTAGATAAAATTTTTATGACTTCTATCACATGGATTCATTTTATCAGTTCTTGAACTTCTAGTAAAAAGAATCATACAGTATTTACACTTTATCTGCCTTCTTGTTCATTGCTATCTGAAATTCATTTTTAATGTAGTGGAAACATTCATTTTCACTGCTATATTGCATTCTGTGTCTTAGTCTATGTCTGCTGTTATAACAAAATACCTAAGACTGAGTAATTTACAAAGAATAGAAATTTTTCACATAGTTCTGGAGGCTGAAAGTCCAAGGTCAAGGCATGAACAGTTCGATAAACTCAAGCCTGGCATCTTGGAACACACTTGCAATCCCAGCACTCAGGAGGCTGATGCAGGAGGATCCCTGGGAGTTCAAGGCCAGCTTCAGCTGTATAGTGAGGTCAAGGCCAGCCCAAACTACATAATGAGATCTTGTCTCAAAAAATCAAAACAAGGGCTGGGGATTTAGCTCAGTGGTTCCACTGCCTGCCTCGAAAGCTCAAGGTCCTGAGTTCGATCCCTGGTACCAAAAAAAAAAAACCAAAACAAAACAAAACAAATCACATTTAAAAACAGTTCAGTAACCTGGTGAGAGTCTAGCCTTGCTTTCCAAGATGGCACCAGTTATTCCATCCTCCAGAGCAGTAAATACTGTGTCCTCACATGGAAGGACAGATGGGAAAAAAGCTAGCTTCCTGCCGGGGATTTAGCTCAGTGGTTTGGCTGCCTTCTGTGCAAGTGCAAGGACCCGAGTTCAATCCTCAGTACCAAAAAAAAAAAAAGCTAGCTTCCCCCAGCTCTTTACTGAGCCATGAATCCCATTCCTGACAGCAGAGCCCTCATGGCCTAATCACCTTCTAAAAGCCCCACCTCCTGATACTGTTGAATTGGGGATTAAGTTTGGACATAGGAATGTTGGGAGACACATTGAAGTCATGAACTGTTTTATGAACATGGGACAGTTACCTACTGCTGATCTGATTGGTACGGCCCACTCACATGATCAAGACTGTTCTTGCCCTGAAGTGATGTTCGACTTCAACCACATCTACAAAATCCCTTGCCAGCAAGGGATTAGTGCCTTCTTGGAGAAGTCCTACCCAGATCCCTCTGACCTGCTTCAGACTGGACTCCTCCATACTTGCCGTCTTGAGATTAAAGAAGCATGTCAGTGCTGAGCCCAGAAAGATGAGAGAGTCAAAGATGGAACTCTGTGACACCCGCTCTGAGGATGGGGCAGCATCAGGTGCTGTGACTGGCTCATCATGCCTGCATCTGGAGAAGTTGCTACCACCAGCCCGTCTTTGACCTCACAGATCATCTCCACTCATACTGACTGGACGACGTCCCATGGGCACAGTGCAGCTACGTTCAGAAGAGGCCTCTTTGTTATCACATAACATACTGTGTAGCCACATGGGAAGAACCTGTATCCAGCACAAGATGTCACAGATAACCTGGGTTTTGAAGGCAGCTTCTGGAGCTATGTAAAGTAAAACAGCATGAGGGTCTCAGCAAGCTCTTCTGCCATCGCTGTAACAACCACAGTTCATGGGGAAGAGTCAGGACCCTGAAAAGAAACAGGAGAGTGCTGCTATTCTCCTTCCGGGTCCCATCCAAGGCACTTAACATTTGGTCCACATGGGACACCTGCTAATACTAGAAAAAGCCCCAGTGAAACAATATTGACAACATCCCCTGCCGAAATATGCCCTATCAACCAAAGGTCATTCGCTGATGTTCATCAGGCCCAGTGCTTCTCACCCTGGACTACACACTGCGACCACCAGCAACATTTCAAAACACACCAATGACTGGTCCTGTCTCCAGAGATGGACTCAGTTGGCCAGGGTTGTGACTTGGACGTCAGGCCTTTCAGAAGTTCCTGAGGTAACTCAAATACAGACTCTTGTCAGATGCACAAGCCCTGGCTTCAGTCCCCAGCACCAAAACAAAAATGAATGAAACCTCTGAGTGAGCCTGCAATACATTGTGTTTGACCTTTATCACAATGGCCTGTACAGCACATCTTAAATTTTAAGAATTATTTCCTAAATTTAAAAATTAACAGGTTTCATGTCAAGCTTCTGTGAGAACATCTTCGTGGAACAGGCCTGCATGGCCACAAGACACTATCGGCCGGGCTGGGTTGCAGCTGCCTTTGTTCAGCATTTCACCCCCCCACACACACACTATCACCACAGTGCAGGGCTTCTGGACGGCTGCCACTGTCATACTGTTTGCACTGTGGGTTTCTTTATATCAGCAACAAGAGAAAAATGAAGTCGTGCTCAACGCTGTCTCCAGCAGTCAGAAAAAGGCACCCAACAGGGTCGAAGGCTCGGTAGGACCTGCCACTCATTTTGTGGCACCTGTCTGGTTCCTGAAGTGTTGGCACGTGTGCTCATGATTTAAATAGATCCATGTTTTCCCACTCCAGGCACAAAATGCCTTGTAGCCCATAGGGCAAAGAGCTGAGAAGTGAATGATCCGAACCTAGTTATCCTAATAATTAGATAGTTTGCTGAGGCAAAAGAAAGCTATAAATGCTGCAAGCAAAAGGGGGCAACCGAGAGCCAGTTCTAGAATTCAGGAAATGCAGGAAGGTTGAAGTTTGTATTTATTATATGGTAGTAAGGGGTAGGAATCAAACCTGACCTGTGAGGTACAGAAATGATTGACTTGAAGAAAAGGGAAGGTTGCCACCCTAGGGACAAATTGCAGGCCTTGCTCACCGCCCCACTCCCAGCAGAGGCCCCACTGCCACCTAGCTTGATGCTAGGTCAAGAATCCTAACTTCAGGTCTTCCCCATTATCTCCTCTGTCCTCCTGCGCCTAGCCAACTTCTCATCTGTTTGTTCTCAAGGCCTGGGGCCCTCACCCCCAGCTGGAGGCGCTCTATGTGCTCCTGTGGTCCTCTGAAATTGCCCCCATCAGGGCATTTCTGTGGCTCTGTAAATGCCATTAAATTATCTCCCTCCTGCACAAGACCCTAAGCTCCATGAGACCGTGGTAATCACCAGCCTCACTCACCACTGTATCATCAGCAGCCAGAGTGCCTGGATGGTAGAAACTCAATAGATAATGATGGAAGGATGGGTGGGCAGGAGAATGGGCGGAACGAAGGATGGATGGGGCAAGCGTGGGATGGAAGAATGAAGAACTCAAAAGTCATCATCAGAAAGCAGGATCTTGTAGTTGAAGATATCTGAGAAAGAAGGATTTAAGATGACAAACTCTAGAATATAGATACAGGTCTCCGTGGGGGTAGAGCCTACAAAACAAAATCCAGGGCAGGCAATTCACAGTGAAAAATTAATACAAAGAATTCATTGCAAAGATGATAGGAGAGCAGAAAGAAGGGTGAAATGACTAACTCAAAATTAGGAGCTCCAGAGAATTACAGTGCTTTGTCACAACTACTCCTGGAGGGACAAGTGGAGAAGGGTTTGCCAGGCCCAAGATCAGTGGCTGAAATCATGGCACCTTATCCGGAGAGAGGTGGAAGCACAGAGGAAATTAATCACTGCTAGAGTTGCTGCCGGAAAGGTCTGGAGAGATGGGAAGGAGCGAGGAAATTCCCTGCCTTCTCCCGGTCTCCGCCTCACCCTCCAGTCTCCCCCAAAATGCCTCTTCTGGCTGAACCTATTTGTGAAGTGTTTTGTTTTCTGTGCAGAGGATTAAACGGAGGGCCTCAGACACACTAAGCCAACGCTGTACTTCTGAGCTGGACTCCAGCTCCAGCTGAACCTATTTTGAAACTAAGGGGAAAGTGTTTGGGAAGTGTAATTTGCAGGGATCAACTTGCCCACAAAACAGAGAAAA